GATTCAGTAGATCAGAGTGTGGTCAGTGGATCAGCAGATCCGTATCCTCTGGGAATTTGTTAGAAACGTAAATTGTCAAACACTCCAGACACACTAAATTAGAAATTTCGTGGGCGGAGCCAGCAAGCTGGGTTTTAATAAGCCCTTCAGGTGGTGATTCTGGTACATGAGAAAGTTTGAGAACCGCTGATACAGAGGGTCAAGTGGCATGTCAGAAACACCTGGGGAACTTAAACAGCTTCTCAAACTTCACCTGCAGAGTTCTGATTCAGCATTTCTGCAGTGTACCTATGATTTTGCATTTCCCCAAAGATCCCCAGGTGATTCAGAGTAAAACCAGGCATGGGAAACACTGAAATGGGTATGAAAACAGGTCATGTGTGCCATGGGGCTGTCACTCAAGTAAGAGGTGATGAACGGACCTGGAGACCTTTGGGGACAGGTGAGCTGAATTCTGGCTTTTTTCACTTGGTAAAAGAGGGGACTGACTACTTGATCTTAGCAGGCTTTTTCAGCCCTAACATTCCAGGGATACTAGCTTAGGCAGGTCGAACTTGGCAGATCTTGCTCGAATACGTAAACATGATATGGGTAAATACATAGACTCATGACCAACAAGTGTAAGAGACTGGAATTTGACTAAAGTATAAAAAGCAGCCTTCCCACCCCCCCAGTAAATCCAAGACAGGTTTTATCTTCTACTTCTACCAGGTTTATGAAAGAGCAGGTTGGCACTTCGGATGTTCATTTTTAGAGTGCTAGACTACACCTGCTTCCTGCTAGGCTTGTGTTTTGAGGGTTGTTTGGGAAATATTATTTTTAAATAACAAACAGGCTTAGAGTCCCCATCGTCATAGGGAATTTTGCCTTCTAAAATGTGCTGCTTGTTAAGGATTAAAACCTCCAGCTGAAGCCGCTTGCTCACTGTCTATCTAAATACGATTGCATCCTCTTCTCCTCCTTCATCTCTGCCCTTGTACGAGAGAGGCCAGTCATTTCTTGCCCTCTCCCACATCTCCTTCCCAGGAAACTGCTGCCACCTTTTCTGGGAATCTGCACCTCCACTCAACCCCTGCTGAGTGAATGAATGAATCCCTGAAGCTGCTAAAACAGCCATAAGCATCTCATTGATCATTTTGGAAGATACCAAGATGCTAATTCATTATTTTGAAAACAAAGGGGAGAAAGTTAAGCATGTATCCTTCTTTCCTTATTTAAACCATACCTCAGGCTAATCAAATAACTGAGGAGAGAAAGTCTGCCTGCATAGAAGCTGACCAATGAAAAAGGGACAATAAAATTAAAATATCACCATTTTGCAAACTCGAATTAATTGATTTAGGAAACAATTATCAATAGCTATCGGTATCATAAAAAGAGGGACAAGAAGACAATATGTGTCTCCTATTGAAGTTATGGCACCACCTACGAAATCTTGCAAAAAAAAATTGAACCTGAATCTGATTAAAGTTTATAAACTAATGAAAATTTATAGGAAATATAGGGGACAGAGGAACATGTTAGAACACTGCTAAGGAAATACAACCACCATAATCCAAACTGTGGAAAACTTTGTGAGACAAATGACCCAGTTTTTCCAATTAATTGCACAGGAAAAAGTGAGGTAGAGGAAGGGGAACCCTGTAGATTTAACAAGACCCAAGAGTCATATTAATCAATCGTAATATGTGGCCTGTTTAGGTCCTAATTCAACAATCTTAAAAAATATATACAGGACAGGGCCAGGCGCGGTGGCTCATGCCTATAATCCCAGCACTTTGGGAGGGCGAGGTGGGTGGATCACCAGGTCAAGAGATCGAGAACATCCTGGTCAACATGGTGAAACCCAGCTCTACTGAAAATACAAAAATAAGCTGGGTGTGGTGGCACACGCCTGTAGTCCCAGCTACTCGGGAGGCTGAGGCGGGAGAATTGCTTGAACCCAGGAGGTGGAGGTTGCGGTGAGCTGAAATCGTGCCACTGCACTCCAGCCTGGGTAACAAGAGCAAAACTCCGTCTCAAAGAAAAAAAAAAAAAAATATATATATATATATATACACACACACACACACAGGACAAATGGGGTAAATGTGAACAATGCCTGGATATTTAATGATATTAAGGAAATACTGGCGAGGCATATTGGCTTGCTTCAGTAATCCTAGCACTTTGAGAGGCCAAGGCAGGAAGATTGCTTGAGCCCAGGAGTTCAAGACCATCCTGGGCAACATACTGAGACCTCCTCGCTAGGAAAATTAGCCAGGTGTGATGGCTTGTGTTTGTAGTCTCAGCTACTCTGGAGGCTGATGGGGGAGGATCGCTTTTAGCCCAGGAGTCAAGGCTGTAGTGAGTTGCCATTGCACCACTGCACTTCAGTCTGGGCAACAGAGTGAGATCTGTATCCAAAAAAAAAAAAAAAAAAAAAAGCCAGTGTTTACTCCAGTAATTCCAGCACTTTAGGGGGCTGAAGTGGTTGTATCAGTCGAGGTCAGGAGTTTAAGACCAGCCTGGCCAACATGGCGAAACCCTCTCTCTGCTGGTAACACACACAAAAAATTAGCCAGGCATGGCAGCGCATGCCTGTGATTCCAACTACTGGGGGAGGCTGAGGCACAAGGATTGCATGAACTGGGAGGCGGAGATTGCAGTGAGCCGAGATCGTGCCACTGTACTCCAGCCTGGGTGACAGAGTGAAACTGTGTCTCAAAAGAAAAGAAAAGAAAAAAAAAATATTGTTGACATGGGGGTGATGGTAGTTTTGTGATTACTTCTTTAAAAGGAATCCTCCTTCTCTTTATCCTTAGAAATACATGTTGAAATACACATGAATGAAATGGCATCTAGGATTTACTCCAAAACAGCCATGAGGGTGGGAGACAGGCAGGGATAAAGACTGCCCATAAGCTGATCATGTTGAAGTTGGTGGTGCGTAACTTGAGGTCCATGATACAGTTCTCTACAATTGTATATATTTGAAATTTTCCTTCCTAAAAAGTTGGAAAAAAAACATTTTTCATAATCTTCATTTGTTTTTTGTATATGTTTTATATTGGTCATGATATATTAATGTTTTTTTATAAATACAGATTTGTGAATTTTTACTTGTTCTTCCCTACTAGAAATGTGTAAAATGTTTGGAGTTTTGTAATTTTTTAACTTGCCTGCTCAGAGAGACAGGAAGGCCCATGAAAGTAATGACCTTCCTATTACATCCTCCACAGGGCTCATACCTTGTGAAGCATATAAAATACTCATGTGGGGCTGGGCACAGTGACTCATGCCTGTAATCCCAGCACTTTGGGAGGCCGAGGCAGGCAGATCACGAGGTCAAGAGATCGAGACCATCCTGGCCAACATGGTGAAACCCCGTCTCTCCTAAAAATACAAAAAAAGTAGCTGGGCGTGGTGGCATGCACCTGTAGTTCCAGCTACTCGGGAGGCTGAGGCAGGAGAACTGCTTGAACCCGGGAGGCAGAGGTTGCAGTGAGCCGAGTTCATGCCACTGCACTCCAGCCTGGCGCCTGGTGACGGAGTGAGACTGTCTCAAAAAAAAAAAAGAAAAAAGAAAAGTATCTGCTATTTTCCAATCCAATTTTTAAGAGGAAATACAATATTCAGCCACCCAAATATGTTAGAATGTGCTCAGAGTCAACAGACTATATGCCCTTTTAATTTATGAAAAGTAATTATTATGGGCTGGGCGTGGTGGCTCATGCCTATAATCTCAGCACTTTGGGAGGCCAAGGCGGACAGATCACTTGAGGTCAGGAGTTTGAGACCAGCCTGGCCAACGTGGCGAAACCCCATCTCTCCCAAAAGTACAAAAATAGCCGAGTGTGGTGGCACACACCCGTAGTCTCAGCTACTCGGGAAGCTGAGGCACGAGAATCGCTTTAACCCAGGAGGCAGAGGTTGCAATGAGACAAAATTGCGCCACCACACTCCAGCCTAGGAGACAGACTGAGACTCTGTCTCTCAAATAATAATAATCATGATGATTATTATTATGGGCCAGGCACAGTGGCTCATGCCTGTAATCCCAGCACTTTGAGAGGCTGAGGTAGGTGGATCACTTGACCTCAGGAGTTTGAGACCAGCCTGGGCAACATAGCAAAACCCCAGCTCTACCAAAACTATAAAAAATTAGCTGGGTGTGAGAGTACGTGCCTGTAGTCCCAGCTGAGGCTGAGATATAGGGTCACTTGAGCCTAGGAAGTCAAGGCTGCAATGAGCCAAGATTACACCACTGTGCTCCAGCCTGGGTGACGGAGTGAGACCCTGTCTATAAATAAATAAATTAATAATAATGAAAGCCAACACTTATGTGGTACTTAACGAAGTGTCAGGTAAGACATTATGCTAAGTGTCTTACAGGCATGATCTCATGTAGTTAGTTCTATTATCCCCATTTTCAGGTGGGGAAACTGAGGACGAGAGTGTGTAAGCAGCTCACTCCAGGCCACAGAGCCAGAGTGAGGCTGTGACTCAGGGTGGGCCCAGCTCCAGAATCCATTCTTTCTCTCTGAGAGACCCAGCTGAGAGGGGGAGAAGAGAAAAGCCTGGACGAAAAGACAGAATTACCAGAAGGGAAAGGGAAGCGGGAGAAAAAATAGGTGGAAAACATTTGAGATTTTTTAGACAAACCTTATTTTGAAGGCTCTCAAACCTGCAGCATAGTGACACTGTGTTTGGGGGGCACAGCAGTGTAGTGGGAAGAGCTGTGGATGAGAAGTCAGAGAACCTGGGCACTTACCTGGCTCTTCTACCATCTCTGTGACACAGAAAAGTCATTTCGTCACTCTGGCCTTGTTTCCTCATCTAAAAAAGAGAAATGATGCCTATTATTACCCTTCCTTAGGGTAATTGTGAGAATCTATTCAGCATTACTTTGAAGAAAAGTGCTAGATGGAAGAAAGTTCTAAGGACTCCCATTTTTAGATGAGCTTGGGAGGACTTTGGTTTGGCATCTGAAGGTAATAAGTTCCTATTTTTGTTTTCAGGGCACTATATTTGTATGTGTCTTGTAGAACCCACGCTTGGAAATGCTGACGGCAGGCTTCAGGACAGCTGAGCCCCAATAAACACCAAGAAAACCCACGGCTCTGGCCGCATCTTCCAACATGACCAATCCACAGTAAGTAATGCTGGGATCTGCTCTCTGGATCCAGAACTGTGGCTATAAATCTCCCAGAAGATGAAGATCTTCTAATTTAGGCAATGACTATGTACATTTCCTTTAGCAGGAGGCCACAGAAAAATGGAGAAACCTTTCAAAAGCAAGACTTAAGACAAGATTAGGAAGCACTGAAGGTGAATTAACAAAATGGGAATTGCAAGGAAATTTAGAAATCATGAGAGGGTTTCTAAAAGCAGGAGCAGGATTCTTAAGGGAAAATTGCTTTCATTTCCCAAAACCCGAGATGTCACATGAACCAACCACTTAATCTTACCAGGCACCTGCAAGGTGGTCACTTATTTTGTGTTTTGCAACTGGTTGGCATGAATACTGCGATGAAAACAGCACTCCTTCTGTTACACCACACTGTCCTGGCCTATCTAGATACAGGCCTGACTGCTCGGTCATCTGGAGTATGAATCTGTAATGCTGTGTAATAACCAACCATAGAACCTCAGTTAGAAAGCAGTGATACATGTGTCTTGCTCAGGTGTCTGGGGTACTCAGCTAGACAGCTCCTTTGATCTTGGCTGGGATGACTTTTAAATGTGGGTCATAGCTGGCTGTCAGCTGATCAAGAGGAGGCTGGACTCTGCCCTGCATCTGTCATCCTCCAGTACTAGGCTGGTCACCCTCTAATGGTGATGTTGGAGGTACAGGAGCACAGGCAGAAACTCACAGAGCCTTTTCATGCCTCTGCCGGTGTCTAACCTGGCTCTTCTACCATCTAACATCCCGCTGGCAAAAAAGAGTCACATGGCTGAATGCCGAATCAAGGGTAAGGAAAATACACTCTTCCTTTGGATGGAAGGAGCTGGGAAGTCATATGGCAAAGGGCATGGGCTCAAGGAGAGGTAAAGAATGGAAGCATGGCCGGGCGCGGTGGCTCACACCTGTAATCCCAGCACTTTGGGAGGCCGAGGCGGGTGGATCACGAGGTCAAGAAATCGAGACCATCCTGGTCAACATGGTGAAACCCCATCTCTACTAAAAATACAAAAAATCAGCTGGGCATAGTGGTGCGTGCCTGTAATCCCAGCTACTCAGGAGGCTGAGGCAGGAGAATTGCCTGAACCCAGGAGGTGGAGGTTGCGGTGAGCCGAGATCGCGCCATTGCGCTCCAGCCTGGGCAACAAGAGCGAAACTCCGTCTCAAAAAAAAAAAAAAAAGAATGGAAGCATGAATACATTTTGTCTACCACACCATTCTTTGTGTCTGAGGAAAGGGTGTAGACTAGTTGTAGCCGGTACACTGTGAGACCTTCACTTCACCAGAGGAGGCCTTGTCTCTCTGCGGAGATGACCACCACATGGCCAGGCGTGGTGCTAGGCCACTGAGCGCTGGTGGAAGGGGAATGGAGGGCAGCACATTGGACAGTTAGTAATAGTGTGTCTGTGCTTCTCAGAATCATATCCTATTGCTTTCCTTCCATGAGCACCTTACTGATCAGAAATTTCCATTTGTTTAGTTCAGAGATCCATAGTTTCCTTAAGTAGCCCAGAAGAAAAGAGAACAAATTCCACCCAGCATCTGCTTCTTGGTAAACATCTGGGGGAGCTGGGATTCCCCCCATAACACCCACACTTTTCTATCAATTGTTGAGAAACATCGAAGCCTCATATCCTGTGACTGTTTCGTTTAAAGATCTGAGTCATTTTGTAAATGTCATGAATGATGAGTACTATCATCTGTGCTTGACAAGCAGCAACAAGCAAAGGTTTAAATTAGGCCTACAGAGGAGAATCGGGCATTAGAAATTACTTGGTGAATTCAGGTGGTCTAGGCAGCCAGTCTGTGGCATTCAAATAAAAAGCTCACTTTACCCTTAATTATCTCAATTTCCCACAAGAAGTCTCCGGGTTGGGCTGGGTGCAGTGACTCCTGCCTGTAATCCCAAGCAAAATAAAAGTCGGTAGATTAATCTCTGAACTTCCTGGATAACAGCAGATGTGTGTGTGTGTGTGTGTGTGTGTGTGAGATTTTGTTTGTTTTTGAGACAGGGTTTCACTCTTGTTGCCCAGGCTGGAGTGCAATGGTGCGATCTCAGCTCGCTGCAACCTCCACCTCCTGGTTTCAAGCAATTCACCTGCCTCAGCCTCCCAAGGAGCTGGGATTGCAGGCCTGTGCCACCACATCCAGCTAATTTTGTGTGTTTTTAGTAGAGATGGCTTCACCATGCTGGTCAAGCTGGTCTCGAACCCCTAACCTCAGGTGATCCACCTGCCTTGGTCTTCCAAAGTGCTGGGATTACAGGTGTGAGCCACCGCGCCCGGCCTGCAGCTGCGTATTATTGGTTAGATTTCAATGGTTGTTGGAAAAGTTTATAATTTAGAGCTCCCAGACAAGAATAGGGACTTGTCACTCTGGAGCTCCCCCAATCATCTCTGTGTGTCTGTTATCCATGTCAGATCATAGAGTGAGAAGGAGCAGCCTGGAGGAATATTCTGTTTTACCTCCTCGTGTTCTGACTGGAGAAACTGAGGTTCAGGAGAAGTCCCGCAGAAGTTGGCATTCAAGCCAGCACCAGAGCCCAAGAATAGTTTACAGCAGCCAGGACTGCCATCTCAGTATTCAGACTGGGCCCCTTTACCCTGGGCACTGGCCCTCAGTGTTCCCTCCGATATCTACATTTTACTTCTTGCTGTAATACCATTATCCTTTCTAACTCTCATTGTCTGGATAGAGGCATAAGACCCAGCCCCTCAGATGCTACATGAGACAGGGTCAAGGACATATTGGACAGACCAAAGATGGTGCCCCAGGAAGGTAAAGGAAAGTTTCTAGTCCAGCATCTCTGGACAGGGTTGCTGTGGGTGTTCCGGCAGGACAGTCCTTAGTCGTTAGACACGTTGCAGGATATGTAGCGTCCCCAGGCCTACTAAAGTGTCAATAGCGACCCCCTGTGGTCATGGTGGCAACCAAAATGCCTCCACAAATTGCCAGATACCCCTGGCAGTAGATTGGGAGGTGGTACTGCCCTGGCTGAGATGCCCAGGAGTCCCACTGGAGTGGTCAGTTATTGGCAGTGCCCAAGATGAGCCTGACAGTCACACAGGAAGAGACCCACAACTCCTCGGGCATTGGATCAAGTGACTCCCATTCCCTACTCCCAATCTTAAGAAGAGACCTATGTTTGGACCAGTTCAGATAGGAAGGGGGTGGCTACCAGGGACAGCTGGAGACTCCTGTCCTCGCCACCCCAAGGCCCACTCGGTCTCTGCAAGTCTCCAGGTAGGCTCCTCAGTCACTGCAGTACATCCAGTTGTGAACAGAAACTTCTTTTCTCTATTACGGAACAGAGAATAGAAACATTTCAAAACACCTTTACATAGAAACTCAGGAGACAACTTAAAAGAATGTCTGACTCCCCTATAAAGTCCAGTGACCCAGAATCCTAAAAGTGTAAGCCATAGTTTTGCTGGTTGGCAGAGTTCTCCATCTGGATCTTTGCCTCCCCTGAATGAAGAACCCTGCCACACTAAAGCTCATATGTTCCAGTCTGAGCACTTCCTCTTCCCATTCTCCCACTTTTCCCAACCATTGGAAGAGATGGAATTGTTCAGGCTCCAGTCCAGTCCGCGGGTGGCCAGCGGGGAAGAGGGGCAACCCTAAGCTTCCTCAGCCCTTTACCGGCACAGTAGCATTCTCCCTCCTTTCCTTGAGGAGTGGAAGAATCTTTTGGTCCTTGAAGATAACTCTTTTCTATTGTTCCTTCTTGACAACCCAGGCCTGCCATAGAAGGAGGAATTTCCGAAGTTGAGATAATCTCCCAACAAGTAGACGAAGAAACCAAGAGCATTGCTCCCGTGCAGCTGGTGAACTTTGCCTATCGGGACTTGCCCCTGGCTGCTGTCGATCTCTCCACGGCGGGCTCGCAGCTCCTGTCAAATCTGGACGAAGATTACCAAAGAGAAGGGTAGGTGCTGGGACCATTGAGCTAGCTAAGAAGTCCCTGGGTTGGGCCGGGTGCGGTAGCTCACACCTATAATCCCAGCACTTTGGGAGGCCAAGGTGGGTGGATCACCTGAGGTCAGGAGTTCGAGACCAGCCTGGCCCACATGGTGAAACCCCGACTCTACTAAAAATATGAAAATTAGCCTGGTGTGGTGGTGCAGGCCTGTAATCCAGCTATTCAGGAGGCTGAGGCAGGAGAATCGCTTGAATCGGGGAGGCGGGGGTTGCAGTGAGCCGAGATCACACCATTGCGCTTCAGCCTGGGTGACAAGAGTGAAACTCCATCTCAAAAAAATTAAAAAAGGAAGAAGTCCCTGGTTTTCATGGGTATCTTCCAAGATTCCAGGAAGCAGCAGCCAAAATGAGCAATGCTAACTAGTGAGACAGCAGGGGCTCACAGCAGACCACTCAGGCCCTCTGCCTACGCAGACATTACTTCCTCAGAAAAAGGCGTTGGGCACAGAAAATACTTGCTGGATGACCTCTTAGGTGACATTTGCTTGGAACTCAGAGAATCATAAAGTTTATTTCAGGACTGAAGTTCTCCTTAATGTCCCATCCAATCCCGTCTCCCTACGCTTGGGAAGGAGACCCATGGCGATTAGGGGCTTGCCCAAGGTCACAGAGCCCACAAGGGATGGACTTGAGCTGCACCTTCCCTTTAGGAAGTGGACTCTCATAGGAAGAGTCTGGGAAGAAGGACCCTGCATACCGGAACATGCCTAGGATGTAAGGGAATTCAGAGAATTCTGCTAGGAGCTCTGCAGATATTAGATCCCGCCCTTTGCAGGGAAGGCATGCAGAATATGCGGGTCCCAATTCAAAAAGGTGGTCCTTACCTCCTGCTGTGAGTGTCAATCAGTTTGGATGCCTTTGTTCCCCAATTCACTTCTCATCAGCCTGGTCTGTCTTACAAACATACTTTCTGAAGGTGAGTGGTAAAGGACAAGAGGCAGGTGGGGCAGAGGAGACACACCAGTTTGATGTCCTCATTTTCACGGAGCTTGGTGGTGTAGCTGAAGGCCAAAGAGGGGTAGGAACAGGTCCTAGGGTCACACAGCAGATCGGACTTCCGACTCTGCCCAGGGCTTTCCCTGGCCCCACCCTGTGGCTCTTAGACACAGAATTGTAAATATTGGCAGGACCTTAGAAGCCAGTTCTGGACAGCTTTTCTTTCCTGGGTGCCTGTAAACACTTTGGAACATGCTGGCTGCTTTGAATATAAAAATGAACGTTGCCAGGTATTTTAGAAGCACACGAGGAGCCTTTGCTAAAGCTAAATTTGAAGAGCTTGGATTCCCTGGACTTGTTTCTGGAAGGAGCTCCCCGCCTTCCTGAGATAAACCGCCTAACAATGGTGAAACTACACCCCAGTGGCTTTCTCCGAAAATATAATTTTTCCAAGCATTGCGCACATTGTCAGCAGGACATTGGAAAAAAGGATTAGGCAAGCTGGTCGGAGGCAGCTAAGGGACATCTGCAGTGGCAGCGCCGTCCTGAGCTGTCAGGGCAGGGGTGGCTTCTCCCAGGTCCTTACCAGCTTGAAGGCTGGGCTAAAACCTGAGTCCCCTGGGCCAGGGCCAGCTTCGTGCACATGTGACCTGTGCAGTAGCACGGAGCCCGGAGCTTACACGGGCCCCAGCACTTGGCTACATGCCCTGCCGCTGCTGTATTGAAATGCTTAAGGAGCCCCACATTTTCACTGGGCTCTGCAAATGATGCAGCCTGTGGGTCCTTCTCTGAGCGCCCAGTGAGTCACTGCGTCACTGCTCTCTGGCGGTCAAAAGCAGTAGTGCAGCCTTCTAACTTGCCCTAGCTGCTCCGGAGAGTTCATTTCCTGCCCTGGCCTGAGCCTGTTAGGCCCTTCTCACCTGGGGAGCGGGATGGTGTGGAGGGAAGGGGGACAACCTCCAGGGATCCTGGTTCAGGGCAAAGCAGTGTCCACGCGTGTCCCCTGCGGGAATTATGGCACCGCGGGTGGACCCTGCTATGGGTGTTCCTCACCAGGGGTCCCGCGTTGTGGTGTACCCCCTTTCTGGTGTTCCCTGTGTATCACTCCCTAGCCTGAACCCCAAGGCTGGCAGAGGCCTTGCCTTATCATTCAATTTGCCTCTAAATTGGGCCTTTGCAAGGTTTCTTCCCAAGCAAACGAATCCAAATGATGCGCCTGCAAGGCAGAGGGACCCGTGATTGGATTTGAATCTCCAGGTGTGCCCAGGAAAGCCGTTCCCGTTGGGTAAATAGGAAGCAGCCCCGGGAAGGGATTTGCCTCGCTGCTGGAGCTCTCAGCTGGGGGCCCCGATTGGCAGCCAGAGGTCTTCCCGGAGGAAGGAAGCGCGGGCTCAGGACCGGAGCCAGGGAACACTGAAGCGAAGCAAAAACACGCTGCGAGGGAGGAACGGCCTCTCCCCGCGAGGCGTCTTGGCTCTCGCTGCATTTCCTGGGGTTTTCCCAAAATGTCCAACCGGCCCTTTCTGGGGCAATGTAAAACAAAAGGAAGAGTCCTCATTTCAGCTCTGAGCTTGGTTTCAGGCTTGTGCAAAATGCCTCTTCCTACGAAGGCCAGTGTTTTGTACGGGAATGAACCTTTTTGTATTTTTAGTAGCGATGGGGTTTCACCATGTTGGCCAGGATGGTCTCGATCTCCCGACCTTGTGATCCACCCACCTTGGCCTCCCAAAGTGCTAGGATTACAGGCGTGAGCCACCGCGCCCGGCCAACCATTCTTAAGGGTAAGCTTCAGTGGCATTAAGGACATACACATTGCTGGGCAACTCTAACCAGCATCCATCTCCAGAGCTCTTCTTGCAAAACAGAAACTCTGTGCCCAGTAAACAATAGCTTCCTGTTCCCCTCTCCTGCGGCCCCTGGAAACCGCTATTCTACCTTCTGTCTCTTTGAATTTGGCTACTCCAAGTGCCTTATGTAAGTCCTGCAGTATTTGTTCTTTTATGACCGGCTTATTTTGCTCAGCAAGGTGTCCACAAGGTACATCCATGTTGCAGCACGTGTCGGAATTTCTTTCCTCTCTAAACTGAACAATCGTCCACTGTGTGACTGTACAACACTTGGATTATCCATTCCTCTGTCAACGGACACACTCCACACTGTTTTTTCTCACGTGTTCATATTTTATTATGAATAATGCTGCTGTGAACATGCCTATGCAAATATCTCTTCAAAACCCTGCTTTGAGGCTGGGTGCAGTGGCTCACACCTGTAATCCCAGCACTTTGGGAGGCTGAGGTGGGTGGATCGCCTGAGTTCACCAGTTCGAGACCAGCCTGGCCAACATGGCAAACCCCATCTCTACTAAAAATACAAAAGTAGCCGAGTGTGGTAGCACACACCTGTAATCCCTGCTACTTGGGAGGCTGAGGCAGGAGAATTGCTTGAAGCCAGGAGGCAGAGGTTGCGGTGAGCGGAGATCGCTCCCCCACTGCCACTCCAGCCTGGGTGACAGAGTGAGACTCTGTCTCAAAAAAAAAGTAATAATAATAGTACCCTGCTTTCAATGCTTTGGGGTATATATCCAAAAGCAGAATTGGTGGCTCACGTGGTGATTCTGTTTGAGGAAACGCCACGCTGCTTTCTGCAGTGGCTGCCACACAGTTTCACACTCCACCCAACAGTGCGTGAGGGTTCTGATTTCTCCTTGTCTGAACCAACACTGGCTATTTTCTATTTTGTTGATAGCAGTCATCCTAATGGGCATGAGGTGGTGTGGTGTGCTTTTAAGCCCATGAAAGTCCTGCGAGGTGAGGAAGAAGGAGCAGTTGCCTTGATGTGGGCCCAGAGCCCCATCTTGGCCAGGCTCCTTGACTCGCTTAGAAGCCCTTTGTCTCCTGATCGCTGCTGAGCAGAGCAGACCGCAGAGCTGTCTGCTGCTCCTCTCTGCACCTCCGTACTCGGGCTGCTGAGGGCTCAGGGAGGAAAATCACATGACTGTGCACACCGGTGCCTCCCCAGACTCGGGGTCTCCACATTCGACTTGATTCCCAGTTTTGCCTGGCAGTCCTCCTCAGCGGTCCTGGTTAGTCCAAGATGGCCAGTTCTGATCGCTTGTGTCTGCGTGAAGTCCCCTCTTTCTTGCCCTCAGCAGATGACCTCCTCTCCCAGTCCCCTCAGAAAGTGGGTGCAGTTGTGGATGGGCTGCATGGCACTCCTCAGTCTCTTCCTTCCTCCCTTTTAGGGTGCCCCATTCCTTGAGCTCTGATTGCCTTCCCCTCCCGCCTTCTCAGGTACCTGCTCTGTCAGATACCTTCTCACCCTGTGTCATCACACTTGTCTCGTGTCCTCTCCTGACTCCACATGCCTGCTGGCTACCATTGCCTTTCTTTTTCTTTTTCTTTT